AGGTAGCAGGACACAAAGGAAAGAGCATTACTATCACTTCAGGTTAATTCTTTAACTGAAACCAAAGCAGGTGTTTCCTTTGTGGGCCTGGAAGTGACCTGTAGGCAGGTGAGGTGGGGTGAAAATGATTCCACTTCTGGGGTGAGTTTGAAGTTTATCCACAATAACTTCCACAGCCGCTCCATTATCCATTTTATTGCAATAAGCAGCAGAAAGTGGTCCATGGGCTGCAGGCTCCAGAGGGTCCACAGGCTGCTCTGAACACACAGATCCTCTGCATTTATGTTATAGTAATGCAATCATCATAAAAAGGGACCTTAAGTCCTTCCTGGTGCTGGGATGTCACCAGTGGACTGGTTTGAGGCTGCTGCTGAGCACACTGGAATTTCACCCAGATTTCACCTGTTTAATGCCAGCAGTTCATCCACAGGGCCTGGGTTACAATCAGCCCTGGTATTTTCAGCTGGTTTGGCCCTGACCACTTACCACAAGTAGGACTTCAGAGAAGCTCCACAATTATTCTTTCCAGCATACCACAGTGCCCCATTAAACAAGGACAAAAGATTTCCTTATGTAATAGGGATGCTATTTGTTATTTTTAACCTTATGGCAGCCACGATTTGTGCCAGGTGGCATTCTGCCTTAACCAGGCAACTTCAGGAGGTTACATTCCTCACTGTCATCCCTGCCCCTTGGCATGGTTGATGCCCATACATGGTTTCTTGGCTGCCTGTTGTGGTGCCTATCTGAGAGCATGTATTTGTGACAGCTCACGGATACACCAGCCCTATTTAACAAGGTAAATCAGGGTGCTGATCAGTCCTTCCCAGGATCCTGCAAGAGCTTCTGTTTCAAATAAAGGGTCCTGTCTTTGTGAAATCCATAAAGTCTGTTTACACGTATCTATGCTACCAGACAAACACCATCACCGTAGCTTAAGTTTTCAATGTGTCAAAATAGCTTTAAAACGTTTAGTTTGAGAACATTGGTTCTTACAGTCCAATTAAGACCACAGAAAGCAGGCAAACAAAACAGTGACAACTCTCAGCAGCCCAAGACCTGAAAACAAGCAGCTAGGCACGGGCTGAGAGCATCCTGGGCAGCTGAGACCCTGCAGCCTCCCTGCTCCCAGTGCTCCACAGACACACGTCCCTGCTCGCTTGGCAACTTCCACCAGCAGCATCACTGGACCAGATTTGGGCAATTTCATGGAGCTTAAGCAAGCCTGGCTGACACAAAGGATGCTGCCAAAGCCTGTTGTACCTCTAGACCAGTACAGGGAAACACAGTGCCAACATCCTTTGGGTCCAAAAGGAGCTCAAAAGCAAATGATGATTTTCACAGTGCTGTAGCTGCTTTGGCTATTTATAAGCAAATAAGAGTGACAGATCCTGTGTCCCATGGCTTACAATTTCATAAAATACACGTGGGACCATGAGGAGAACAGATGTAAGTTGTCCCACCAAAGGCTACGTGAAATTTCAATTAGCAGCAAATCTTCATTAAAAAATCTGAATAGCGAAATCTAATAGGGAATGTAACTCCACCCTCCTATGAATAGAAGGGTAACTGGTAATTCTAATTATGTGCTCACATAATTTAGAGGTTTTTGCTTGTTCGCCTCTAACACAATCCCCCTTCATTCACTCTCTAGGCAGGAGGCATAGAGAGGTAGAATTTTAATTCTTCTGGCCATTTATATACATGTGGCATTTGTTGACCTTTAAGTATTTGATTTTGAAACCTATTTAACTTTTTGACGTAGGTGTTTCTGTGGGTTTTGTTGGGGAATGCCAAAAATTTTCTGCATGTAGGCAAAAAAAATGAGTAAGAGCAACTGTATGAGAGTTCCTCTGTTTGTACCCAAAGGGCCCTCCCTCTGTGTCTGTAACACCAGTTAAAGTTTCTTAGTAGCACAAGCTTCTTATTCAGCTTTGTTTTGACAAAGAAAGATAAACCACTGTTTTGCTTTGCCCTTCCCCCACCGTTTACTCATTAGTTTCATTTAGTTTGCTATTCCCTGCTCCTTGTAGGGGAAAAAACCATATTTCTAAAAAATTACTATTTTAAACCACATTAAGTTGTTGACTCTGTATGTTCTTATGAAGAATTTAAAATAGAACATAATTATAAATCACTGCTAAAATGAGCTTGTCCTGCAAAGGCAAGGACATTTAATTGTGTCCTTGTATGACTGGAATCACTGTAAACAACTAATATTCCTATTTGCAGGGACAGAAATAACAAGCTCATTCAGCTGTACAGAAAGGAAGACATAAAAGGAAACCAAGGGCTAAACCAGAATAAGCCACTGGAAAGTTTTATGTCAACAAAACTGGATTTAAATTAAGTAACATCAATTCAATATTTTGACTGTAAATGAATCAGAACATTAAAACATGTTTTAAAGGGAACATTTGTGATGAAACATCTATGACTAGTTCCTACACCAAAGGAATAGGAAAGTTCCTACATATTTATTCTGTGCAGGATCAAAGCCCCACAGCAAAGCTACTTCTCTGGCTTCAGTATTGCTTCATAGACCTAAATTTTGAAAATAAGAACAGCAGCAGAACTGCAAGGAAAACACTGAATAAATGACTTATCAGTTACACACAAAGGGAAACACAGCCCTGATGATGTAATTAAGAAGTTCCTTCATACTACACGTGTGAAGGAGTAAAATTTAAGTTACACAACCAATTCCCATTCTCCCATTTTCTCATTTTCTGAGTGCTTGACTTTGCAACTTAAATCTCTTTTTATGATTGTTGTTTCTGACACTGATTTGCAGAAATGTGAGTAGATTTTAATGATTGTTACTTTGCCTTATTCAATGGTAAAGTTTAAAAAACCCCACACAACAAAAACAAAACTCCCAAGATCAAATTAAAGACGAGAATTTCTAAGCTATTTGAAATTCATGGAGATGAGTCAATGGTCACCTTGCTTTAAAATCAAGAGAAACACAGCAGAGCAATTCCCCAGTGAAAGGAAATAAGGAAATAAACTACACATTCAGCAACTATGAGACACCCTTTCCAAATAGGAACAGAGAGTTCATTTACCCACTTATTTTACAATGGTGATAACAAATTAAAATTGTGGGCAGACAACAGAGAACCAAATAGACACACAACCCATAGCAAGGATCAGCCAAATTAAAGAGAACTTTTTACACTGTCAAATTTTGAGTAATTAGTACTTCCATTAGAGGCACAGTTCCAGCTTTAAGTAATTCTAAGTAATTAATGTTCCTTTATTTTGCCTAGAAATCCTGACTTCAGCATTCTCTTAGGACACTCATTCTGCTAAACAGAGCTCCACAATACAGATTAACTCAACTAGAAGACGATTAGCATAGGCAGATGGAGATGTAATTTGTCATTCTGTACACACTGTTACTTCTAGCCTTGGATGCAATTTTTTCTTAACACAGCAGACTGATTCAAACAGAGGCAAAGACACGATTTTGTTCTATCTGTACCCATAGGACTGTCTAGGCTACTAGTGATGCAGAGATTTGAAAATTCTACCTGACCAAATGACAAAACAAAGTGAATAAAGTGCCAGATTGTATCTTCCCATGCAGCTTCAACCTGCTACAGGAATTCATTAAATGATTATACACTTGATAATTTAAAATAAATAATTTAAAAGGCACCATGGAGGAAATATTGCTATACTTATTCATCACACAATGCAAGGAAGCAGAAGCTGGTCTGGTGACTAGCACATGGAAAAGGCAAAATTTGCTTGCCAGAGACACTCCAGCATTTGCACACTGTAAGCTGCCTGGGTCATCAAAATCTTGTCTTTGATCCAATGATCTTTATGATCACTAAATGTCAGGGCAGCTTCTTTTTACTACAGATACTTTTTACCAGCTTTCACACTGGAAGATCAGTGTTATAAAGCTTTGGGCATCAGAGAGGTTTTGGCTCTGCCTCCTGTGCAGCTCTCACCCAGCTGCTGCCCTGTGGTGCTGCCACAGCACCTGAGGGACCACCAGCAGCTCACTGGAGAACCTGGACACTGCTGCTCAATTCTGCTCAACTCCCAAGTTGTGCCAAACTCCATTCCAGTTATTGTGCTAGAGCAGGGCATGATGGTCTCTAGTATTTTTTGACTGAAAACACCATCTTCAAGAAGTCAGAAAGTGTAAGTTATTTGTTACTAGTAATATATTTTGTACTTTTAAAGATTTGTATTAATCCATGGCTGTGAAGGCTGTCAAATCCACTCAAATGCTTTTTATTGAAAAATCAGGTCTGCATATCTGTAGATCCTCCCCTCCTTCACCCATCCAAATTAAATCTGTAATTCCCAAAGACAGCCATTCTTCTAAAACACTACACATTTCATATAGTTGTTATTAGTAAAGTAAGAACAGTGTTTGCAGAAACATTAAAGAATCAGGTCAAGAACTCTGTCTGAATAGCAGTGTTATTAAATAAGCCAATCATCCAACTTTTGAGTAATTATTGTCCTTGGTTTTTACTTGAAAGCCTCATTTTCAGCACATTCATAGGAGACAAATGTCCTACACCAAAATGAATGAACAGGAATTAACTGTTTTGGATGCCAATTACCAGAGAAAGCTGAAAATGCAATACTGTCAGGCCAGATACAGCACAGCACTTCTCGTTGTAGGACAAGTTTAGGTACAATCTGAAGATTTCACCACATATAGGCAAGGATTTGATCTGTTCCCATCTGTGCATTATCTAAATATCTAAACAATTGCCCTAATGCCTTTGAAAACTTTAAAATATAAAAGGAAAACTAACAAAGCTGATGGTATCTCCAGATCATCATGTGAAGTACTAATAAGCAACTGTGTTATACAACCCATGTTCAACAGACTGAAAATGATCTTTCCCAAATCCAAGTGACATCCTTCTGAAGCTGAAAGTGATAGATTACAGCTGGCTGAGCACGCACTGTACTGTACACTCATTTTAAAAGCTGCCATTGTAAAAGACCCTCCAGGCTTTTTGTTGGTTCCTTTGCTCTTCTTATTAAGAACGGTAAAGTTCCTCTTATTTAACAGTAATTACAGGGGCAGATGGAGAAAAACTAATGAGAGGGAGAGAGGTTTATTTTCCTAATGACATGCAGTAAGATTAATAGCAAGCCTACGGACCATATATGTTATTTTTATTTCATCACCTCAAAACATGATAAATATTTGCAATTGCAAAAAATTATGAGTACAAAACTTACTATTAGGATTCTTTTTAGAAAATTATGTCTTTACAACTCATTTATAGCCTCTGTATATGACATCCTCTCCTTCTCTCCACCAGACAACCATTAAGACACAAAAACACTCTCAGGACAGCAGCTGCAGAACTTGTCGTACTCGCTCACACTTCTCCAGCACGTTTGGGTCTTTTCCATCAGAACCATCAAATTCCTTCATAAAAGCTTCAGCTTTCTGCACAGTTTTGTCTCTTGCCCCGCCCTGAAGGCCTTGCAGATAATCCAGTAAAATGGTGAAATACTTGTCTGGAACCTTTAAAGAAAAAAAAAACAACAAAAAAACAAGGAAGGAAAAATCTGATTTATTTTCTTCCCTCTCGATACTCATTTGCAATCATGTCACAGCATCATCTGAAAGACAGTCAGGAGACGGGCACAGGCTTTGGTGTGTGCCAGTGCCCAACTCCAAGTGGAAATGTTTGAAAGGTACAAGCTGCCAGGAGGGATGGACCGTGGTGAGACGACTGTCATGTGCTCGGATGGGCAAAGCATCTGAGAGGAAATGCTAAGCAGATGTGGAAACGCTGATCAGCAAATGCAAACACTCCCTGACAGGGAGCTCAAGGCTGTGAGGGTTGGTGGAAGAAAAAAACAAAACACACCAGCCAAATCCTCCTTTTGCAAACACGTATGTGAATCTTGCTAAATTTGGTGAGAATTGCATGAATGTGCCCAAGGAAAGAATTTTGCTGGAATTACCTTTGCCCCTACCCAAAAACTACTTGTTTGCTGACTTGAGATACCACCCACCACCGTGCACTTTGACAGAATGCTTATACAAAGGAATAGAACTTAATTTGAAAAACAAATTGAAATTCAGACATATGGAAATAATTTTTAAATCACGCTGACTAAAACTGATAGGCTGAACCAACATGTCCAACATTAAAAGCACTTCAGTCATCTACAGTTGTGTTACCCCTGTTTCCCTCCCTTTCTAATTAACCAGTCACAGATTAAATTTTAGGTTATCTGGTAGAACATACAGTTTAAATGATCATTACCTTAATCTTGGCAATAACTTGGCAAAGACTTTGGAATGATTTATTCAGTATTTCAAACCAAAGTAATAGGTGAAGCTATCTTGACTTCATGTTGTGTATCTGTGGAACGGGTTTCAGCCAACAACAGGATATTTTTTGCTGTGAATCAGGGGATGTTAAAATGACCTCATCCCGCAAATATTTTTCTCCATGTTTAACTTTACACATATAACTTGACTTGAGTCAAGTTAAACACATACGTAACTATTTAAAGGACTGGAGGCTAATTATTCGAGGGCGGTTTCAATTCTGCAAAGTATCAACATTTCAGAGAAGACAGAGCTTCAACAGACACTTAATTTACAACCTATTTCTCCATCGACATTTGGCAGCAGAACTTTGATCACTAAAACTTCTATCACTCCAAAAGAAGAGGAAGAAAGAATATTCCAATGCTGCCTTCATCAATCAGGCATATTACAAAGCAATAAATCAAAACTAAAGTCTGCATTCAGCCTCGTACACTATGGAAAAACCTTCTAATTCTTCACACAAACACTCTTGAGTTAAAGAAATAATAAAGTTACAAAAAAATATTAATTTCACAGTGACTAACCCTGAAATGGATGATATATGAAGTGTTGCTGTAATACACAAATCAAACACATTTAAACATTATAAAAAATGTCTATATTTTTGAAACTTTTTACTCACAGTAAGCTGGTACTAACAACAGAGAAACCATCTCAATGCAAACAATGTCAGTGTGACAGTGCTCCTTTAATGCAGATACTCAGTACTGAGCTTTTAAAGCTCAGCAACATTTCCATGTTTCAAACCTTGGCTAAATTACCTCTATAATTTACAACTCCTGTTCTCAGCCCTCATGGCATAGACATACCTGTGGAACTACAGTTATTATTATATCATTTAAGCAAAATGCTTGAAGGGGCAATTGAAAACCTACTCTAAACTTAGAAATACTAACTGGGCAGGCTGACATGTGGCTGCCTGAAGGCTAGAAAACATTTAGCATTTGGCCCTAAGGGTAAGTAAGTACTTAAGTGTTCAAAAAAGCCTGATTTTTTTTCTTTAACACAGCTCTGAGGTTTTTTTCAGCAGGAGCTCCCGATACAGTACCCTTTAGGCAAGGTAAATGATGTTTCCTCCTCCCTTACACATACAGTAGAGCCATAGCAAGGACTGGAACACACAAAGTGCCAGCAAAAACTTAATGAAATCCAAATTTTAATTCCTCAAATACAGTATTACAAAAGCGGCAATGTCAGGGCTCCTGGCGAGGTTTTCCAAGAGGGAACACAACCCTTCTTCTAAGATCAGTTTTAGGCTGGCTTGAAATTGGAGATCAAGATCTCCCACCACAGCTCTGGAAGTGGAAGTGATTTTACTATTATTCTTTTGTTTAACAGTTTTGACCTTTTCCTTGTTTCTTTTTGTCTCTCACCCACTGATCTTGCCTCTGTTCTAACTGGAGCTGATTAAAACGAAACTACCCCGAAGTGAAATAATTCCTGTCATCGGGAAAAGGAGGGAAACACTACAAAAGAGTAGCAGGAAAAGACCAGTTATCACTTTACAACTATACTATGCAACTCACGAGTTTCCAGACTCGGAGACTTGCAGATCCCCACATATTTTGCAATGCAAACACAGATCCCAGCACACAGGACCTGAGCTCACCGTGCCACCACGCTGCCTTTTAGGTGACCTTCCAAGGGAGCTTCAGCTCCAGGCCTTGCAGCCCCAAAGCTGAACACAGCTGATCTATGGCTTTCTAAAAATGCTGTGCCAGATGACAAAGATCAACAAATGACCTAGTGTTTGTCTTATACTGGATCCTGGAGAAGTATACACACCATAGGTACACAGGCTCGGCTGGGCAGCTTTCAGCCAACCACCAGATGGATTTTAAAGGGACTTGAAAAAAACCTTCATGGAGCAAACAACTTTACAACCTCAACTTATTTCTTACAGAAAGAGGCGTGCAGGAAACTCAGCTCAGTGCTTTGCATGGCTTTTTAGTAGGCATCCAAGCGACACCATGAGATCAAAGATGCGGCTTAGGAAGGAAAGAAACTTGTGTCTCATGTCTCTTTTTGTACTTTAGTCATGCTTGGATTACCAACAGATTTTATTCTGCAATGGACAGGAAGCTGAATTTGGGTATAAAAAATATTCAAAAGAAGCTGGGTGTGCCCTCCCTATGGTCCTGATGAAGAAAGAGACTTCATCATATGCCTAATTATAAGCACTTGAAGAGTTCTACTGCCTTTACTGAATCTGGATGCAGATGTTCATCATTCTCTAAAGCTCATATTCAAGCCTTCTCTGATGATTAAACTACAAAATATGTGAATTCAAATAAATCACAGCACTTCCAGTAGATTAAAAAACAAAAATGAAGTTTCATTTCAGTGTTGAGAAATAAGGGGTTAAGCTGTGTTTTGATACATAAAACAAACACTGCTTACGGTTCATTATGTCCCGGGGTAATTCAACACAAACCCCAAGGTAAACAGGTAAAAAAAGTAAAAACATTGTTCTGCCTGCCAAACAATTTCTAGGTAGCTCTGAAAAGCGTATGTTGATTTTAAAAGGTCGATAAAGATTTTTAAAGGGGAAACTTAAAAACTGAAGACAGAGCAAACAACCTAGAAACCACCACCAAATTTGTATTCTGCAACTCATCTTTTTAGAGTATTTACACCCTATGATCATTTTTGCCTTCATGAAGCTCTGCTTTTAATTATCTGGGTCTCTAAAAGTATTTTTAGGTGGAAAGGTAACGCCCTTTGTCAGGTGATTGGCTTAAGAGCTGCTGAGTAATTTGGACCAGGAAGATTGGCATGAATAAATGTTCAAGTGCACACAAAAACATCAGCAAAACCTAACTGAGTGTCAATGAAATGAATCAATAAATAAGGCACTGTGCAAATGGGCAGATGTTTGTTCTATTACACAACAAAATAAATGACCTGAAACTCCCACTCGATACCACAATGGTCAGGCTTATTGGAAATTCAATTTATGTTGTTTTGTCAGTTATGAAATGAATGAATTTCAGTATGGATGCAATCCTGGCTTCTGGTTATACTTTATGTTTTGAACAATCAACATCAGGTTTCACTTATATTTTAATGAGAAAGCTATTTTAACATCTTGGCAATAAGACTGTACATCTTCTGTGGAGCCAGAGATATTTGAAGCAATATGAGAATCATGGTTTACAGTATTAGGTTCCACATTAGGAAATTCAAATTAAGGATATGAGTTAAATTCTCAGGAAACTCCAGGTTTAAATAAAACATAAATCTGCTCTATTTATGCTTGACATACATCAAATATAAAAATCTAGCACATACAGGAGAATGAACACCAACGAAGTAAAAATATCGATGACAAGCAATTAAAATGATTCAGCATCTTGGTTAATTTATAAATTGTTAAAAAATTATTAGACAGGTGCATGGCCAGTAGTAGCAAGTTTTAGTAAATAAAGAATAGCTGTAACTAATGTATAACACTATATCATATTTGTTCTGAAAAAAAAAAAGCAGCCTTAATACAAACCTTCTCTTTATCATACATGTGCAGGAGAAGCCACGTTTGTCTTGTCTTTTGAAACTTCCATTCTTCTGGGTTTTCAGACCAGCTGTAGAGAATTATATATAAAAAAAATTTGCTTAAATTAAACACTATGATATCAAAACATTCCTTATTCAGAAAATATTCCCTACAATGCTTCCTCCAAATGACTTGGTATGCACAACATGGAGTTTTGTGGCACAGTTACTGGCATACATTTTGTACAGGGCCACCTGGCTTCTATGCAAATAGTGAAAGGTTACAGGAAGATATCATAGCCAAGAATGTTATAAGTTTTCCTCAGAAAGCACTGACTTCTTGATGTTAAATATCAAGCCCCGCTCCCCAGCTTTGGCCAGTCCTTTATGAGATGTCATTGCCTTCATTTGACCCACAACAAACACTGAGCACCCCAAATCCGTATCCCAGCTGCAGGGCTACCTGATTATTTGGGGAGGTGGAGAGGACAAGGAATCAAATTTTGGTTTTAGAAAGATGATATTTCACAATGAACTGACATTTATATAAAATTAAGCAGCCTCTGAAGGACTAGAAGGAGAAACTTGTGCTACAATGGTCACACCAGCAATGGCTGGAGACCATCACAGATGGCTATTCCAGAGCAGACGTAATTAATTCTTCAGGAGCATATATTTAAGGCTTGGGTTTGCCTAAAGGTGTGACTTAAATATTTAAGTTTCCAGGATAGAAAAGTGGTTTTTTATCTCTCTCTCTCACAAGGAATACTTCAATACTGTTCAAAGCAAGGGGACAAAACAAATTACTAACATCTGCAAACGTTCTTTGGCTGTTTAGCAAACACATTTGAAATATGCAAAATTTTAGCTGGGTTAAACCAGCACATTTACATACATCTTGAACATATTTTTCAAGCTGGTATATTCTGTTTTAGATGAAGAAACAGACCTTTATTTCTAAAAACAAATGAGCAAACTGGCAAATCTCACCATAAAACGAAGACTTCTTTTTAAAATTACATACTTGAAAATTAGCATCTTAACATGTATAAAATCTGACAGCACACTAAAATATAATTTAAAATGAAAGGATAAAAAATATAAGGAGAAAACCCAGAAACTTTCACACTTAATTGATTTTTCTCTAAAGAAAAATAAGTCTCCAGAGGGTAGCATGCAAGATGCCATTAATGTTACATCTTGTTTTACACAGCACTAGAGAATTCAGAAATCAATTGAAAAGCCAGCTGGGTATAAGAATTAGTATTGTTTAAACACTGTAAAGTCTAATAAAGCAAAAGAGTCCTCATCTTTGCTGAATGCTGCACCAGCTAGTACATTGTTCAGTCAATTCAATGAAAGAGAAAAAAATGAGACCACAAATTTGTACAGAAAGGCTCCATGGAAGCCTCTGAAGAAAATTCAAAATAAAAAAATACTGCCTTGATGTTCAAATTCAGGATAAAGAAAAAGCAGCAATAGCTCACTAGGGTTATCACCAACTAAACTTAATAAAGTTGGTTTTTCTTGTGGGGCAAACAACAACCTGCTCATTTGTTCCCACTTTCTCTGTTTGCCAGGTGAACACAGCAGCTCCTGACTGAGAAACTGGGACTTGTGCAGGAGGTGCCTGAACTTCTAGAAGTCCTTCAAAACAAACAAAAAACCAAAGACAGTGACAGTGCTCGCTGTTCTTTTAACCTTTTCCATGATGAGGTTCATCCTCGAGAAGAAGAAGGTAAGTCTGAAATTCTTTTTTACGTTAATTAAGCCTGGAAACAGTTTACATGATAGTCTTTGCAAGGTGACAAGAACAAGCTGAATGACAGATCTGTGACTGCATCCTGTGGAAACAGTCCCTCTTCTAATGAAAACCTTCAACACGTTTGTATTTCCCCACACCATTCTATATATTTAGACATTTGCAATATCCCTCGGTTAGACACAGCACAGAGTACTCTGAATCTTTTATTCTCTGCTAATTTTATGTTTCTATCACTTACACTGTCACCTGAGTGCTGTTGGCATTTAAAGTTCAAAAATACAGCCTGATTTCACTAATCTCCCATAAAGCTATAGGATGTTAAAATATTTTTATTACCTAGTTTATAAACAACTGAGGCCAGCAAATGAGTGCACTATAAGGTTAATTGCTCTTATTAACCTATTACCAAAACCATATGCTCTCTTCTACATGTTAAGGCAAGTCGTTGTACTCCTGCATCCAAGATCCCATATGGACTTTCACTCCACTGAATTCTCTTGTAGAAACAAACAAAAGTTTAAGTTTGTCTTCCTGAAAGGTTCTGCTCTATATACACCACAGTAATTCATATAAACAATAAATACTTTAACATAATCAACTGCAGAAAGTACATTTGTGCCCATCACAGCACTGGAGTCTCACAATTTCTTGTGCTCTGTCCTAATAGAATCAAATCCCAAATTGGTACAGTAAGAAAAATTAGTATTTTCCCTAATACACTGTGGCTATACTTGTATTTTCAGAAAATACTCCCAAGTGTTTAACTAGTATTATATTCATCCAACAGGGTATCAACTCCTGTTTCTCCCCTTTAAGGAAAATGGTCCTTCTCTTGACCCGAATTCCTATCAAACTGTGGTCAAAACACTCCGGATAATGGATGCACAATCTTTAATGCAGACAGCATGGCAGTTGCTCTCTGCAACTGGATCCCCCCACAATTATTAAAATGAAACTTTTCCACTGATTCCTATGACTATGACAGCTTTTTCCTACTCCACTGACAACTTTAAAACCTATGGAAAGTATCGCTCCGTGACAAAGTGAGAGGGGTATCTCTGTTTATCAGGATGACATCATTAGTGCATTTTTAGAAATGCTCAACTTTTAAACCACAGAAATTCAACCTTTGCAACACAAAGAGAGGTCTCATTTCGCTGTTTACATGCAGATAAGCTTCCTTGACATAATACAGCAGGAGAAAAGGCTTTTCCTTTGACTGATTAAATATACAGAGTAAGACCAACTACATTACAGTTAAAAAACCTCTTTTTATAGACAATCACAACCTCTTTCACAGTTTGAATTAATTTGGTAGCCTCTACAATTATCTATGCCAGGATCTAATATAAACTATGGAATTGGATGAGAACTATACATGTGTAAAACATGTATTTTTCCAATGTACATCAGGCTAATTTTCAATATATTGTACAAACACTAATTGCCTTCTTTACACATTTAATGTTTGAATCTTTCTTATGAGCTCCAGCTCATTGAAAAAAACATATTAGTTGACTTTAGTTAAAGAGAACTTAAATGTTTATGCAAATGAACTTCCTAAATGGCTTTGAAATCGAAAAAACAGGGGAAGTGAATCAAATAAATCAAGCAGCTTAGGAAATTTTACATTTGGGCTTTCGTTTACTACAACCAGTCTCCTGTGGAAAAGTCGCCCAAGATTCTCAATAGTCAATCTCATGAATGACTTTAAGTGCCTTTAGTCATCTCACACAAATCTATTCCCAAAACATGGGAATTCAGGCAGTGTTAGTAGGCAAACAGAAGACAATTGGTAGCGTGCGGGGTTAGGGTTAGGGTTTAGGGGTTTGGGTTAGGGGTTAGGGTTAGGGTTAGGGGTTTAGGATTATGGTTATGGTTAGGGTTAAGCTTAGGGTTAGGGGTGCCCTTGTAGAAAGAGATGGGGAAGGGAAAGTAGTCAAATTGGTTCCAGAAACACAGTAAGAGAAAAACATTATTGTTACAAATTAGATTCAGGAAGTCAACACAATGCATCTGCTCAGACTCACAGTTAGGACAAAATATTACAAAGCTGTCACAACTGGTAAATAATCACTGTGTGTAGAAGTCTCAAGAAACCAGAAGGACAGACAGTGATGTGACTGCTGATAACCTTCCAGAAGACACGAGAGCACTGCTGCATGCCAAGGGCAAGGGCACCTAGACCCACCTACATGCACTGCTCCAACTGTGTGCCACTGTCCAGTTCACCTTGGATACACCTTCCTGCCTGGGTATCTATCCAAGGAAAAGCAGACCGCCACCAAATTTAGATTTCTCCAGCATATAGCCCAGGCTTGGTATCAGGGAATTAACTGGAAAGGTTTCTCCAGCCCTGAGGACCAGCTCAGAGTGCAGCCCCCCCTGTGATTTACCCATGAGGACCTTTATGTCTGACTCTCTCAAGTTTCCCTCATAGGAGGGACAGAGCCACAGGTCTGGCCCTTGGCACCATGTTCATGGAAAAGATCTACTGAAAACATTAAAAGCAGCATTCTACAACACTGCACAAAAATTGTCACATTCTTCTCACCTAATTTGTCTGGGTAGTTTTCTGTTTTGATACACCAGTTATTCATCACCCTGCAACCTGTCTCCAAGGATCACCTATGTTCTTCTACGTGGCCCCCAAGGAAGGCTGAACAGGAGTTATGGCACATGACTGAGGCTTGCAGGAACCAAGTAAGGCACTTTATTGCCCAAACTCTCTGCAAACAGCATCATTTCTGCCCTATCAGTAAAATGTGGATAACAGGTGTTTCCTCAATAAAGAACCACCATCCCCTAAAAAAAAATCCCCTTAAAGATATTTAAAGCCTTGCTGAAACACTTGGCACTCAAGTGATGTGCTGCAATATTTCACAGTGCAATACATACAATAGCAGCCACTTTAAAGCTCCATGCACTGGTGTTTAAGGCAACTCACTGCCCTTATAAGGCCCGAATTTGGAAACTCTGAACACTGAGTCTGTCCAACGGTGAGCACAACGCACATATGGCCAACAGGTGAGCATGGGAATGCTGCTCCTCCAAGAGGCTCCCCAGAACCTCTGGAGGCAGCACAGAGGGAGCAAAAATCGGGTTAAACTTGTTCTTGTGGGACAAGAGCCATCTTATGGATAGAGGTTTTAAACGGATATATATAAAAAAACATATGGGTGTGGATGGAAGTTTTATATGTGCCCTACAGTGCATATGGTGAAACAGGAAAAATAAGTTTTTGTCCAGTTATAACACGTACAATTATGTAAAAGGGAAATGTAAAAGTGTTTATTTTTACTGGGGGCATTCAGGGTTTTTTCT